AAATGCCCTATGTTTGGGGGGGGGGGGGTCTGCAATTGGATTGGAGTAGATGAATCCATTGTCTATCTTGATAAGATGATGAACGGAGGCATATGCCCCAGTCATGCCACGTGGAATGCATCCGTCAGTGGCTTGTTTAACAAATTAGGTCATTTGGGGCCAATTCACATTATGGATGATATTCTGGCTAATGGACAAGTTCCTTGAGTTTGAATGTTCCTGGAAAGTTCAAATAGACAGATAAGTATGCCGTCCAGCAATCAATGAAATGCAATTGGTGCTCACGTGGGTCTCCTTGCTGGGCTCCCTTACTCGTCAATACTGCACTCATGAAAGATTCTGTGCTACTTGTTTGGCAATATAATCGTTATTAAACTGATGCTTGTTGCCATAGATTACAACACCTGATGGATCATTCATGTCAATGCAGATACTTCAGATGCAGTTGAAGCATCAAGGTCAATAATCAAGGGCTTCTTCATATATTAGAATTGAGATCCCGTGAATTCTGGTTAATAAGTTGGATTTTCAATATGGTGCCATATCTATGAATCGACATCCTTTGCTTTATGTAATTTTGCATAGTTTGCTCTCTGTATTGTCACCTTCATGGGTTATTCACTAGGTGAAAATCACACTTATAGTGACAACAAGATGACATCTGCTCATATATTTATTATGGTCCTGAAGAGACAATGATGCTACTATTTTTTTCACAAAAAGATTTCTTCTCTCTTCTTAAACATTCTCAAAGATGTTATTGCAAAGGCACATGCACACACACTGAAGGAAAGCAGAAAACCAAATATCTTCTCATCGTGTAAGTATTAATTTTATTGCAAGATCATCAAGTCCAAACATTGAAAACACCAAACCACTCACTATTATTTCAGTAACTAGTTAGCAATCTTCAGATATCTCATTACAGATCCTCACTTTGATTTTCGTTGCCACTGCTACATACAAGTCACATCTCCTCCCTCCTTTTCATCCCTGAACACCAACTTTCTGAACTGTAAGGCCTCCATCTTTCATGCATCCTATCTCCCGCTAGAGCCCATTCAGTTCTTCTTTGTTTGTATTTTGTACTAGGTTCATTTTTCATTGTGGAATAGATTAAAACATGAGTGGCATTTGCAGAAGATGGGCATTCGTTGTTATATTTGGCCTGGAGTTGTGCATGCTATTATCATCCAATAATTTTGATAAAATGATAGCATTCACGAAATCTTAATGTAAGCCTTTGATGAATGGTGAGATGGAAATAGGTACGCTTTTTTGAGTCAGCAAGCCAAAAACTGGTTTTGGTACTGTAGGTGGAAGGATGGATGGAGAAACTATAAGACGTGAGCAAACGCAGTATATCAATCAAGACGGCTGTGACATTGTTATCTCTGGCGGTACGAGCACCTTTTTGAAATTTTTTTTTAGTTTTTGTTGATGATGATGATAAATTTTGTGAATTCCTTGGTGGGATATATGTGCTAAGAGAACATAAGATGCTGGGCTCACAGCCGCACACCCATGGCCTTGGCAGAGCATCTTAGGATGTGCCTATCCTGCAATCTATCGGTTCAAATAACTTAACTGGATACTCCTTTGAAATTAACAATAAAGATGGCATTCCCATGATGGCTGGGTTTATCTGCTGCTTTGAATGTTACTTGAATATAGTATGAACCGTTGACAACCTTTTGCACTTGCACTCTGGAGTGGGCAAGGAGGACAACTGCTTGCATTTTTCTGAGAACAGGTACTGTTAGATAACCGATCAAGAACACTTTAGTTCTTGTTCTGCTATAGCTTTGTTACATATTTGATGCTTGCTGCAATAGGTTACTATCATTTTTACCAAGGATATAAAAGTTTAGTCCACACCACACTGTGGACATAGTGGCGGCATCAGGGTCGATAATCGAGGGCTGCTCATATAATAGAACTTGAGATATCTTGTGTGCTGGTTAGTAAAATCCATATCCATGGACTAATAGGTCATTGCCTATTGTAATTTTGCTTCGTATTTTGCACTCCGTCTCTGATCGCATTCAGTGGTTATTCATTGGGTGGCGCAGATAAATTGCACTTAAATATAGCCGACATCATCATCATCATAATTGTTTATACATCTTGTTGTTCCTTGTGAAGTCATAACGTTGTTTGCTTTTGCATAAAACGAGAAACGGATTCATTTTTATCTTTCCCCTTTTTTTGTTGTTGTTGTTGTGGTATTGCAAAGCCACGCACAAAAAGCAAAGAAGAATATCCACATATATTTTCAACGAAAAGCTAATTTTATAGTGGTGATAGCAAGAACTTGAGGTCCGGAAATTGATTGAAATACAGCTGAAAATGCAAAACCACTCGCATTTATGCCAGCTAGTAACTTTAGGAATGTTGCAGATGGGATTTAGCAATTCGACCATCAGCCCCCTTTGGGTAGAAACCTCCAGGAGTACTTTCATTACCGCTACCATACACAACTCTTAGTATTTCCTCCGGAGTCCTTGCATATCCAATGGAGTACTCATCTCCAGCAAGGACATTGCCTCTAATTTGCCCCTCAGCACCCAACTTTTTGGGAACTACAAGGCCTTCATCTTTTATACCTTCTTGCCCTAGCTTGTTCCTCAGATCTGAAATGCGATTTGTGAATTCTGCCACAGTTATCCCATATGGATGCAACCTGATCAAGGCATACTCATATAACAGTCCTCGGATGACTGCATCTTGGCCAGACTCCACAGCCAAAAGGCCTGCAACAAGCTGAACATGCACAAACAAAAACATGTAAACTTCAACAATTATGAACCTAAAAACATTATGGTGGGGTGTTTGAGAGAGTGGATCAATTGAGTTATGGACTCAGGGCAGTATCGTCACCCTCTTGGAAGCAGCAGCCTGGAGTTTTGGGTTTGCTCCAACATATCCTGTCAGTCCAACATAAGGGAGGACATAGGAGGCGATAAGATAGTGAAGTGAAGAGGCATAAGGATCAAAAGGTGGAGACAATCGTTTCCCAAAAGCGGCATCCATGGTTTTTGCAAATGATTTTGTGCTCAAATCCAGCAATGGCCTTGGAAATCCCTGCACAGTACCCTTGATTGCTCTGCATCATGAGAATACAGTCACATTAGACGTCTCAAAAAGAAGAGACTCGAGTGATTGGACTTGGATCAAATACCATGCCAAAGATGTGAAAAAATATCGAACCTCAAGTGTCCCACTTCTTGCCATGCAAACTGCTTGATGACATCTTTAGTGTAAGGGTCAAGATTAGCCTTCTTAGCACCAAAGGGTTTCGGCCCTCCCATGGTTAAATTTGGAGCAAAATGATCCAGTCCCCGACCCATCGATCCATACAAAAAGAACTCAGCCTCAAGGTACTCTAAATTTAAAGGAAATTCAAGTAGATCAATATCTGATTGTGGAATCGGAGAGCCTTTCCATCCATCTGTAATGAATGGAGAAGAATAAGAAATTGGAACTAGGAGGAGGATTAGAGAAGCAATAATAGTGGCTATGGTGGTAGAAGTAAATAGCTCAGCCATTTTTAATT